AACAACAACAACAACAACAACAACAACAACAACAACAACAACAACAAGTCTCACTCTTTTTGAGTTTGGCGCGTGCCACTGAATAGCACGCTGGCCCGCTGTTGTGCGTAAGCCCCTTAAATTTAAATTTCAAGAGCTGCCACTTCCTCCAGGTTTGGACAAGTTTACGCTTCAACTTGGAAAGGCCGGGGCGCAACCTTGCAAGAATGTTTCCCGCCCCAGCATATACCTCCATGACGTCCATTGCGCGTCCGAGTAGCTTTTTGTCATGTCAGGAGAGGCAATTCAAGCAATAAAAGCAGAACATATGCCAACCTATTGTATGTTCTGAATCATACTGACATGTGGCTTCAGGGTGCCGCTGATATCAATGGCGGCTCGCGCTTGTGGAGGCGGGTTGGTCCTGCTGCCAGATGTTGATGGCAGTTTGCGCTTTGGAGCTTGGGGCTGCTGCAGGGTGTGCTGGTGGCGGCTGGGTGCTGGCACCGCTGCAGGGTGACGCTGTTAGGTGTCTATGGCATGCCCCACCACCACTGGGACGACTACCACTACATTATTTTTGCATTGGAACATCATTCTTTAATTCCTGCTGCTGCAACCATACGTCAATTCCTGTCTACCATGAGCGCTACTAGTACGATGACGGCCTCCGGTATATTGAGTGTCCATTTCATGCGGCGTGCCAGTCGCGCCCCGGAAGTTCCCAAGGCCCCGAACGCTCCGGCCCAAAGGTTCCGCCCCCAAACGCTCGGCCCTCGAAGGCTCGGACTGGCCGCCACTACTGTCCGTGGCGACTATTGCTCACCCAGAGCAGGTTGAGGCAAGCGGGTGACAAGTGGAGACAAGTGTATCAAGTGCAAAACCACCCGGCCAAGAGTATCCAAGCAAGGAGATAAGCAGGGTGACAACTTGGAGACAAGTGTAAATCTTTTAAAATCATCCGGCCAAGAGCATCCAAGCAGGGAGACAAGTGGAGACAAGTGTCCCAGCCAAGTGCAGCCAGACTACGCTGGCCCAGCGCACCCAAGCAGGCAGACAAGTGGGAGACAAGTGCAAAACCAGCCGGCCAAGAGTATCTAGAGTAATTAGGCAGAGAAAAATTCAGCCAGCGAACAAAGCCCCGAGATCGGGGCAAAATCACTTGGACCAGGCACGCAGCCCGGTAAAAGGACAGAATTATGCGATACAATGGGTCATATCATTTTAAAGCATTTTTCTATAAACTTGAATTTTGTGTGGTTTGAGAAAAATGTTGATTATTTGGTTAATAATTATATGGCTATATTATATATCGGATGTTTGATTTTACATTTGATATATTGTAATCTTTAGGATAATCTTTATTTAGAATTATGTTAACTATTTTGTTTGTTGTAGAACTGGAACTTAGAATATTTTATTTAGATCAATCTATAATTGAAGTATTGTATTTTTAAATACATATACAATATGATTCAAAAAATTATACCGGCATAGACCCCAGAGAGCATCCTGTATAAACTCGTTATCGTTGTTTTACTGTTATCGTTTTCTGGGCCGGCAATGCAAAAGTAGTGATAAGGCACATGCCAATACTAAACTGCTGAGCACGGGGTTATTTTAACAGCCCAAGTGTGCAAGTGGGCGCATCATGCGCAAACCTTTCAGAACGCCTGCGCGTTCTCACTAAAAGGGTGTGTTTCCTGCCGAAAGTAACGATGCTTAGTTTGCTACATAAAAGATGCAAGCGACACAAGGCACACCACCCCACTCAAAAACCTAAATCACATAACAGCATCCACGTCAAAGGCAGGCAAGAAAATAACAAGGCGGCAGCGGCAGCCAAGAGCGAAATCATGAACAGAGACAAACTTGGGAGACAAGGCGGCAGCGGCAGCCAAGAGCGAAATCATGAAGGAAGACAAACTTGGGAGACAAGGCGGCAGCGGCAGCCAAGAGCGAAAGTATGAAGAAAGACAAGCTTGGGAGACAAGGCGGCAGCGGCAGCCAAAAGCGAAATCAAGAAGGGCGACAAGCTTGGGAGACAAGGCGGCACCAGCAGCCAAAAGCGAAATCATGAAGGGAGACAAGCTTGGGAGACAAGCCGGCAGCGGCAGCCAAGAGCGAAATCATGAAGGGAGACAAGCTTCACAGACAAGGCGGCAGCGGCAGCCAAAAGCGAAATCATGAAGGGAGACAAGCTTCACAGACAAGGAAATCATGAAGGGAAACAAGCTTGGGAGACAAGGCGGCAGCGGCAGCCAAGAGCAAAATCATGAAGGGAGACAAGCTTGGGAGAAAAGGCGGCAGCCAAGAGCGAAATCATGAAGGGAGACAAGCTTGGAAGACAAGCCGGCAGAGG